TAAAGAAACTGAAAAAAATCGCAGAAACGAAGAGAAAAAATCGAAGAGATAAAATACGTCGAAGAAACTGAAAGAACCAGAAACATCGAACGAGTTGAAAAGATAAACACAGTTGAAATAATTGAGGAAGAGATAGAAAGAGGTAATGAAAACAAATAAAAAAAAAAACTAAGAAATAGTGGAGAATTGGAAGAAATGAAGGAATTAAAGGATGAAATGAAAGGAAGAAATAGAGACAGAAGGAGAAGGGAGGAAAGCGGGATTGAATCGATTAGTCGAGAGCAAAGTCGATCCCCGCGACGAAGGTCGTTGTCTTCGTGGTCGTCGTCGCGCTGAAAACCGTGGCATTCGCATTCCTGAAATGCTGCGGGTTCCGCGAGGAATCGGGCGCCGATAAGCGAAATACAATACGCCGTGACATCACGCTGCGAATCGCACGCCTCTTGTCCTACTCTTCGACTTACGCTTCTCCTTCTCTTCACACTTTGACCAGCCTGGACCCCGTCGCTCTGATCAATTCCAAAACGCAATCTCTATACTCACTTCTGACACCAATCACACTGTTCACACCCGAAAAAATACGTATCTCGAATGCTTTTTTTACCAATTAATTCAGTTAGACTATATAGGTTCTATGATGACCAATAGATGAGGTCACTCAGTTAGTGTAGAATCTACTGTGCTCATCAGATCAAGGTGAAAGTCATACAGAAATGATCTGTATTACTTCTCCGACCAATTACACTGATTAGACTAAGAAAATATATCATTTACAATGTTTCTGTACAATTTTTTTTTCTACTCCTTAATTGGTCATTTGTGAGTAACAGAGGGGTCGATTTGTGTAGAGGTTAATATGATCATCGGAACAAGGTGAAAGTCATACTCGTCTAATATCAGGTATCATGGCGATTATAGTCAGCCGGGGGAAGCGTTGAAGGGCGTCAGAGCACGTGCCTGATCTGCCATTCCTACCCTGCTAATCAGGGATTTCTATTGGGGCGAGCCACTCCCATCTTGAACAGAGTCTCGTGCCTCCCCATTGAGGTACCACGAGCCCCGAAAGGTCTCATGTAGCCTTACAGGGTAACAATGCTATGGGTTCAAGGATCAAATTGCAGATTGATCCATTATAGGTGAAGAAACAAACAATTAATCGCAACCTAACCTGAAATATATACTCTTCGAATATTTTATGGAAAAGGTTACCTACTGTCGATAAAATTCAGTGAGAAATAATCGTGCAGCTTGAAACATTTTACAGGCATTCGACGAAATAATTCATCGTAACTTAACCTAAAATATACTATTCCAAATGTCCCACAAGTAGATCACTGATCTAAACACAAACTCAGAAACAGCATTTTTCAAGCCTCTGTACTCAGAAAAATGAAACGATTAACTGGTAACCTAACGTAAAACGTATTCCTTCAATTTAATCGAAAAAAGACGTCCAGGACGAGATTCCTAATTTCAACCTAACTCGATCCTTGCGATTCCCAGTGAAAACCAATATGGACACCGTGTATCAGGCGCGAGGAAGCCACGAGGACACCGGGGGGTTGAAATCAGGGGGCAGGGGGTCATCTGACAACGATAGCTCTTCTCGACCTCGTCAACGTCGTCGTCTCGACGTCTCCGCCTCCCCACCATTCCGTCCTCCTACACCGGAAGTGCCAGTGAGATCGAATTTCTGCAGTTACTATCTGCGATCCAACCTAACCTCGAAAATCTCGCTTTTTCCTCATATGGAACCATCGAATCTCCCTCGAAACAGCTATTTTTCAATTATCAACCGTGGTTATTGTGTTTACTATAACGATTATACACCGTGTTAATAAGGCGGAGAGGTTAATCTGGGCCTGGACAATCGAAAACATTGGGTTGGATTAGCTAACAGGAGTCAAGGAGATAATACAAAGGGGGCCCGACCATGTTTCTCGCCAGTTGGTTCGTCGACGGGCCACTTATCTCGAATCTCCTCCTTTCACCACGCGTTTTGCAACCGTTCAGCCGTCACTCGAGCCAGTTTTATCGTCCTCAAAGAAAAGAGCCATCTTAGACGCTGATAACTGAACACTCTCTACAAGTACAAATTACGTTACGTTTCTGCGCTGGTAAGGCTTATTATCATCGATTCAGAAGCTGCTCCGTGGCTAGGAACAGAATTTACGACCCAGTTTGAGGTTACGCTCAGTATCCGAATCGACGTGATCAGGCGAAATCGACGAAAATCACTGTGGCTGGTTTAATCAATAGTTCGGGATTAACTCTCGCGATTCCCTTATCGGGACGAGATTAGCCCAGAGCCGTGCCCTTGTTTACTAGAGATCTATTTTAAAAGCGAGTGCTTCCAAGATATATTACGTACGCGGCCTGGTTTCCGAATAAACACAACAGGGTCGCGTTATCTGTCGTCGAAGGAGATGCCATGTGACGCTTTTCTGGCCAGAAAGTTTCTCGGTATGCAGCAGCATCGGGGAGCCTGTAAGAGGGTACGTATTTACGCCAAACTGAATTAGAATGACGATTGCGGGCCACTCCGGACGACTAATCAGACGTTGCTGCAATAAAAAGTGTCAGCTTTCCATGGAGCCTTATCAAGTTGGGCTTTATTGGCACGATAAGTTTCCACGCATAATCGAGAATGAGGCTGTTACGCGTAATTTATGCCGCGTGAAACACTAAATAGTCAGGATACTCTTGGGCCACCGTGTATGTGCTTTACAGTGTCTTTCTGGCAGGAAGAATTGTTTCACCGAGGTCGAGGGCACCTGTTAGGTCCAGAAATGTTAGGAGAATCTTCTGTCCAAGTTTTCGAGGCTATTTATCAAATGCAAAAGTATGGAGAAATATCTGGAGTCTCTCTAAGAGCTAGAAAATACTATCCAAAATGGCAAAAGGGGGAAGTAAGGGACCACTTTACAATTAAAAATTACGACAGTCCCGTGATATTGTCAAAAGTCCCCAAGAAGAACCAAGGAATTACCTTCCATATCGAACAAGTGCCAACGAAAATACCAAAAAATCGTTCGAGAAATGTCCAAAAGCGACGAAATAGAGAAGCAGGATGGCGGAACGCTAGCAGATAAAGTTAGGGTAGAATTTACACAGGCAGATCAGCACGAAGACAGGTTTTCACGTGTGCACACGTCGAAATACCATTCGAGATCTTTTTCACGGCGTGTAATCCACGAAAACGCTGTCGTTGGCCGATATATCAGCTCCAAGCTTTGCGGCCAACGTTCCCGGATTAGCGACCATAACTCTCGTCGACGAGTGAGAAAGCGGTCCTCTTGTGTTCCCGAGATCGTCGAGGACGAGTCTTGTTGCTCCCGCGAAAATTCCCGACCGCCAACCTCGCGTGTCGTCATTTCAACTGATTCTTGCCGCGTGCGCCCGCGCGCATAACTACTCACTACGAAGATATCGATACCAAGCTCCTTGGGTTTCACCAGGCTTTTATCTTCAGCGATTAGCGAATCTGAAAAATTCGGTAACACGAAACCCCATGACGGAGGGCCGTTTCCTCTTTTATCGGTACTTTATCATGCCACCCTCAACCCCTTCCTACATCCACGTCTTCCGTTTCCAGCGAAATTCACGGTTGGTCCTCGCATGATCCATATCCAGTAGATTATAGAACGTGAAAATTATTCTACGAAGGCTGCGTCACAAGAAAATTAACCAAGTGTGAAATAATACGATTGATACCTACGCATTCGAGATTTAAGGCTAATTGTCAAGGTTTGGTTAAAAGGTGAGGAATTCTTCCCTCCCTCCCTTCATAAATAGTGCTAAGTGTGTGTAAAAAGAATTTGAAAGAATTTTTGAAAAATTCGAAGAATTGGGGAACTTATGAGGGTTTAAAGTGCGCAGCTATACCCTATTCAAGGTAACTTCGTGAACTTCGAAATTGTGAGGCGATTATCTCGAAAACTAATAATCCGATCGATCTGAAATTTTGTAGGGATGTTTGTGTATAGTTTATACCTGAACCAGTATAATGATTTAATCTTCAGTATCGTTCATCGGATCCTCGAAGAAATGGCTACTTTCCCTTAAAATGTGATCCTTCGTCTTTGGAAAGGTCGCCATTTTGGTAATCACGAAAATTCTTCAATTTCCCAGGTCTGTGTTTTTAAGGACACCTCGTGGATTATAACGAGTGGCTGTTTTTTCCGGTAGCAAGTTTAACCTGTTCAACCTGTGGTCCTTCACAAGGATCGACTTTCGATTAAAACTAACCATACCTTCTGTGTACCCTCCACAACAAAATATTTATCTGTTGCACAAGAAAGCATCACCGAATAACCAGAAAAAAAGGAACCGTAAAATTTCCTACAGTAGTATAGCAAAAGAAAAAAAGAAAAGAATTCCCAATTCACAGTTCATCCTGCTCGATAATACCCATGTTAACGTCCAAACTGTACACATGGACACGTCCGTCACGATTTGTACATCCTATAAACAGGAAAACAATCGTGACAGATAAATCATTAGGGTGCACGACCTAGGAGGGGATATTTCTATCAATGGCGTCTTCGAACCCGACACCGTTGAAGACGAGCCACTGACAGCTCTCCGAGGAGCGTAATCGAGGCAGAGAATGTAACTAAACGACGCGTGGAGAGATCAGGGCACGCAGCCTCCAACGGTATATCATCTCCCTCTCCAAGATATCCCGCTTTCTTTCCACCTCTTTTTCTAGATCGCTCTCCCTCTCTCTCTCTCTCTCTCTCTTTTTCTCTCTCTCCCCTCTTGTCGCCTTTCATCGAGAGACAGAGTCACGCGACACTCGAGAGGCGTTTTGTATTATTAGAACATACTCTTCGAGCACAGTGAACACAAGCAGGGAGGAATCATTGCTTGCTCTGAGATCCTGATGACGTCAACCGGAGTCTTTCAAAGTCAGTCAACGTGTTTTTAGAAGCCACACTGAGAGATCTCGCGTTTATCGTCAGCAGAGGTTAGGTTGGAGGAGGTGTTGCTTGACTTACCTTGATGCAGAGGAGGTAGAGGTGACGGCGGTGATACCTGAAATGGTTCCTGCTTGATCTTCAGAGAGTGAGAGGCCTCCTGCATCCCACCTAGCCCTGCAACCCCTAAGCTTCCATTGCCCTGCTGCAGTTCCTGTAATCATTTAGTATAGTCTATCCTATGTATAAAATTCTTGGTGGCATTTTATTCGAAGTACATTTTTACATAGGTACTCTGTTGAGTAAATTGGTCTGCAAGCAGAGTTGGTAGTACGTTAGATACATTTTGTTATACCTAGTTTCTTATGAAAATAATCTGCAGCCTGTTTGGTACAATTAACGTACTATCTACACCAGGATAATTATCGATAATTATTGTAAATGCATCGCTGGCTGTATTTCACTACAGTCTCCGTAGATATCAGACTAATTGTGATCATTTGTCATCTTTCTAAATATAGTTTGTGACAAGTACAAGTACACAAGTCACAAGTAAAACCTTTATTTTAGAAAATCAAAAGATTTATCTACAGAAAATGTTCGTTACATGTTTTAACTCTATGTCAAAAGTCAACCGACAAATAGTTACACGGAGATCAATGTATACAAACGAAATTTTGAAAGAAGCTATACCAAAAAAAAAAAAAAAAAAAAGCAATGAACCAGTCTCTAATAACGTACACACACAGTATGTACACCTGTAATGTACAAGAAAAAATGGACGCATGTATATGAGGATCTTCTGAAGGGGCATTCTCAACACGACACAAGAGGTGGTGAAAGGTGAACGAACCAGCTTGAGGACCACGCGACGCATCCAAACGACCCCGGCCAAAGAGACTTTCTGGCTCTAAGCTTGGCCGATGTTTGAAGTGCCGTCGCCGGAAGCTTACAAACACCGGGCCGGTGTTGTGACATCGTATTATGCCAAGTGAAACTTACGATCTCGCTAGATCGTTAATTTGCGATCCGGCTTTACGACGTCTAGTTTTGCACCCAAGTTGTTACTTGGCGAAAATTCGTAAAACAACCACGGCCCACCTCTATCCGCCATATTTCACCATATTTCTCGTCATTTTATCAAATTCACACGAACGACAAATCGCTACGATTCGAATTTACGGAAAAATGTGAAAATAACGAGAAGTTCTAAAGTGTGTTCATTTCCATGGGAGATCCAATGGTTCCTCTCCAGGTGCAAAAAACAGGTTGGAGAGACGAATCTAGGATTACACAGGTCTACCTAAACAGACGAAGGAGTATGTCGTTGGCCCGAGGATCAGAAATCTCAAAGCAATCCCCTCAATCTCGTGTATACTAAGAATCCCGTTATTATAACTCATTTTTACGAGGATCCAATGGTCCTTGAAATTCAGAAGGCAGGTTAGACATGTCTACCACCTGATCAGACAAAAGGAGTGTGTCGTTGACCCAGAGATAAGAAACGATTCGATTTCCAAAACGGTTCTACCCGTCTCCAGGCTCGAAACTATGCTTATGGTGGCGCTAGTAGTTTCAGGAGGGGCTTGGAAACGGGACAAGATATACAGACACCGCGTGGGATACCGGGGAAGTGCATCAGCCGGTTGACACTGAGAAATCTTGCCAGCAGAGACACGTGGCCACCTCGTTAATTCGCCAGACAGCCATTAAATTAAGCTCCTAGCCTCTTTGAAAAGGGAGGTGGGAGGTAAAAGGGGATCCACCGTGGTTGCTCGACGGATTCTTCAAAAGAGGAGGTTCTGGACCACTAGGACGGATTAATACGACGATGTAGTTGCTGGAAGATGTATGGGAAGAGCTTGCAAAGACAGTGTTAGATGAAAAGAAGCGATATATTTCGAGCTAGAGGTATTAATTGCTTCGAGTACCAGTTGGATTATGGGTGGTTCTATGTTACAACTCGATAGAGTATTCACTGGTGTTCTTTGTTATTTTAGCTTGGCAGAATCTCTGTTTCACCGATGTTCCCTCTATTTCTCTGCTTGTTTTTAGTTCAAACTGTGAGTACATACTCTCTCTCTCTCTCTCTCTCTCTCTCTCTCTGATACAAGAGAAATTACCGAGAGGCAAGTTGAGTCTTATGATACCTCAAGAATAATTGATAAATAATAAATCGCAGTGTAACACTGGTACTTTATATGTTATTCCAAGCGACGAAAGCTACCAGATTCACGCATCTACGACTGAAACTGGCTTGTCGAGGGATGGAAACACAGAAGCACGAGTCTGAACAAGTGCAGCAGCCTTCAGTAAATGGAAACCAGGCAAGAGATCAGCGTAGGTCGACGACGTGAGAGGCAGTCTCCGTTATCACCGGCTCGATAAAAGCTGCTCCTCTCCTTTTTCCAACCAGACCTTATCAGAGTCTCTCGTTCATTTTGAATAACTAGTTCACGTGTCTGGTCCAGTGTAATCGTCGCATAACCATCGCCTAATAATCGTCTTCTCAGCACAATTTCATCGCGCACTCGCACCACTGGCCTGATTAGCCGACCAGCTAATGGTAAAAGGAGACACCAGTATCGATTCAATGGTAAATCTAAACCGTGCTCGATCGATCCACCAGGTTGAATCGCGGCGGAGTTTCATTCATGGAGATGGAGGATATCGTTCGAAGGAACGATATTACGGTTCCCTGCTTGCTTGTAAAATGGCAAAAGAAAGAGATTTGAACTTGAACGACGGTTACGACCAGTTGGAAATGGAAACGGGAACGTCTGAGAACACTCGGCGAAGACGCAGATCGGATAGTTGCGAAATTTTCGAGGTCACGACCTCCACTTTTCTCTTTTTTCTTGGCTCGCGTGCGACGATAAGCGACGCTCAGCGGAGCTCGGCTATCTTCCTTGTGTTGAACATTGACGAACATTCGAGG